ACAGTTATTCACCTAAGAGCTTTCTTTTGCTTTGCCTGCTGGGACATGAGGGCAAAAGTGCTGGAGAATCAAAGCTCCTCCCTCCCACCCCAGGTGAATCTCTCAACCACTGATAGGCAGGTGCCTATAAACATCCCAGCTCCCTCACCCTCAGGCAGGGCAACTCAGGTATGTGTTCTACATCTGCACCCTCAGTGGTAACGTCAGTGGCTAAGAGGCAATATCTGGATAACTCTTTTTTTTTTTGAGACAGAGTCTTGCTCTGTTGCCCAGGCTGGCGTGCAGCAGTGGCACAATCTTGGCTCACTACAACCTCCGCCTCCTGGGTTCAAGCAATTCTCCCACCTCAGCCTCCCCAGTAGCTGGGATTATAGGCACCTGTCATCAGGCCCGGCTAATTTTTGTATTTTTGTAGAGAGAGGGTTTCACCATGTTGGCCAGGCTGGTCTTGAACTCCTGACCACAGGTGATCTGCTGGCTTCGGCCTCCCAAAGTGCTAGGATTATAGGCGTGAGCCACCACGCCTGGCCAACTCCCTCTTTATTGACTAACTTAACTTCCTTTTTCTGTGTCATTTTCCCATTCCTTTATGATATTCCCCTTAACTGCCAAGTAAACTACTTGCCTAAGAACTCTCACCTTGGGATCTGATTCTAGGGAAACCTAAACTAAGACACTGTTCAAACAGTGCACATTATCTTTTCCTTCCATTTTCTTCCTGTTGCAGTCATGGATCCCTCCAGCTGTCTTGACTCCTCCCACCCTCTACTCTCCTGTCCTTTCCACCTCCAATCCGTCACCAATTTCTGGAGGTCCAACTGCCCCTTCTCAGCTTCCTCAACTCCATGCCCTGGTCCCAGGTCCTTATTCTCTCTCCTGCATCCAGCAACAGCCTCTTTCCTACCTTGGTTTTTCTCCATCCAACCTGCCTCTCTTCACTCAGAGTGATCTTTTAAGAACATGATCCAGAAATTGTCACTGCACAGCTTCCAGAATCATGATCTGCCTGCCCCCTGTGCCCTCCTTCAGCTCCCTCTCCACATCTATACCAGCCCAAGTGGCCTTTACATGCCCTTTCGGCCACTGAGGCCTACAGTCACAACCAGCTCTCTGCCAGAAATGATGTTTCAATGCGTCTTCTAAATTCTCCAAGTCTCCATTTGCTTCCCACTCCAGGAGGCCTTCCTCCTTCCCTGCGGCCTCCTGGAGTGCCTCACCTATACCTATATCACCACTTCCCTCTTTGAGGCCCTCTGACCAGCCTTTGTGGGAGCAGACACAGTGAGCCTCCTCCAGCACATACCCACAACCTAATGGTCTCTCCCCACTCATGTCCTGGATGAGCCATGCCTTACCAGCTCTCTGCCCACATTGTCAAAGAGAATAGGATTTTAGGATACCCAAGACCTCCAAGGGGTTAGGATCCATGGGCAAAGTGTCTAAAGGTCTGAACTCAGTAGGCAAGACTGGGCTCAGAGGCCAGAAGAGCAGGCCAGGACAGATCAGAGGGCAAGGGTCAGGCTGCAGCTCTCCCCTGTGTCCCCTTAACAGGAAAGGGACTTGATCTGGGCTAGAAGTCTGGGTCTCAAGGAAGGAGGGAGGCTGGATGAGGTGTGAGGACAACACTTACAGCCCACATGCAGCAGGACTTGGTGGTGCAGGTGCCAGGAGTCACGGTGGAAGCAGGCGTAGAGGCCACTGTGGCCCAGTTCCAGGCCACGGAGCACCAGCTGAGAGCCGTTGAGCAGGTCAGGGGCCAGGTCTGTCCCATTGACCCGCCATGTCACCGCTGCATCCCAGTTTGCTGTCCCACATGACAGCGTCACATCAGAGCCCAGGCGCTCATACTGCACGTGGGGTGCTTCTGTAGGGGGGCAGGGGCACAGGGCAAAAGCCATAAGTCACAGCCCTGCCCAGAACCCCCAGGTGAATGTGCTCAGACAAGAGCCTGTGAAGATGCTTGAGAGGCTTGGTGTATGACTGTGTGAGTGTCTTGGGGAGATGGAGAGTGTTCAAAGCTCCTCTGTGCCTATGCAAGTGTGTGGGTATATGAGTGTCTCCAAATGTGTATGTGAATGTGCATGTCCAGGGCTATGAATGTGAATGGGCCAAGACTGTGTGTGTGTGTTTGTTTGCATGTGAGAGAGAGATTGTATAGTGCTGAGAGGGGTCAGTTCTCAGTGAAAACCAGGTTCCTCTCTAGTCCCTGGATGCTTTTAAAGTTTCCTGACCCCCATGATCTCTTGCCACCCACCGGCCCAGCCCAGTCACTGACATCCATTACCCAGGCAAGCTGGCACTGACGAGCCACACTACTGGACTCCTTTTTCTGTCTCCCTATCTGTTTCTCTTTCCCACGCCATCCTCGTCTCTTTCTATCCTGTCTCTATCCCTACCTCCCCCATCTCTCTTCCTATCTTTCTCCCTCTCCTCTGCCTGCCCAGCCCTCCACCCCACAACAACCCACCCCTCAGCCATCCAGGGCTCTGGGCAGCAGCCGGAGAAGGGAGAATGGGCAGCAGGGAACCCTAGGGAACTCCTGGCAGCTGTCAAATTCACAAGGCAGGAACTACTTAGGGCAGGTTGGAGGCTAGGGGGTTGTGGTGCTGCTGGGATGGAGCGAGCACTCGACCATTCCTCTGCTGCCCCCAGGAGGGGCCTGTCAGAGCCAAAAGCAAATCCCAGCCCTGGCCTCAGCAACCCAGGCGTGATGGAAGGAGCCCAAGAGACTGGAGATGGAAGGGTGGAGGCCAGCACCTGTCGAGAGGCAATGCGAAGTGGGGGAAGCAAGTAGGGCAGAGACAGATATAAGATGCAGCCATACAGAGACAGGGAGATGGAACTCTCAGGACACCCCCTTCTCATCCTGTCCTGAGTGGGAGGGACAGATGCTTCCCAGGTCTTGGCCAGATCTGTGGAGTGAGGATGGGAGAGAAGGGAAGGGGAGGGGCAGCAGTTGGGGGTGCTGCGGGATCCCTCGTTAACACTCCTTACATCTCCCCTCCAGAGAGCCACCCTGCTGAGTTGGGGGATTTTCAGAGGCAATTCCTGTTAACGAGCCAATTAAGTTGGGCCAGTGGCCTCTTAATTAGACTTGTTAACACCACCAAGACTGCAGCGGGGGTAGGGATCCCCCTTGGGTCCACTGACCACCCTTTGCCTCCTCAGCACTGCTTTGCTCTGCGCTGGAACATCTGTCCTGGTTTGCTGCCTCTGTCGTCCTTGCTGTGCCAGGGTCTCTCTGACTCTGGGTCTCTCTCCCTTGCTGCCTGTCTCTATCCTGCCCCTCTCTGAGCCTCTCTGTCCCTTTCAGAGGAGAAGAAAGCAGGAAACCCAGCCAGCCCTGACCACTCGTCTGTGGGGCCTGGGACCAGCCGAACAGAGGATGAACAGGCGGAAGGGCGGTGGCTGGGGGCCTTGGAGGCCACAGCTGTGAGGCTGGACCAGACACTGAATGGGGGCCTCCCCCTGACCAGAGGCCCAGTGTCCAAGACTCAGGCCACTGAGCCCCCCCAACAATCCACTAGCTCCAGCCACTGAGCCCCTCTTCCAGCCTCCCTTCCAAAAACCTGGAGCTTCCAGGAAACATGCCAAGCTCCTCTCTCTGCACCCCCTAGCAGAGACTTTGCATCCAGCTGCCTGAGGAGGAGGCTGAAAACTGACCTTTGGGGAGGGGGCGTGGCCACCCTGGTCCCAGAAGCAACACAGTCACACTGACCAGGCAGCTCAATGCTGACTCAACCCAGTGTGGCCCTTAATCCTGGGGAGCAGGTACAGCCACCACACAAGGACACAGCAACCCAACAACGCATCAAATACAACGGCTATAACACCTCCCCACCACACCTTGTCTGCTGCACAAGAAAAGTAGAAATACAACCTGACAATAACGACAAACCGATCATGTAAGGGCAGGGCAGGATGAAAAATAACAACACAATGGCAGAAGATGACAGGCCACAATGGAGAGGCAGAGGGGCAACAGGAGGTGACAAGCAGACAAGTGTCACAACTGCTACAATAACACAACAGCAATACACACGGCCATGCAACTGCTCCAAATATGGCAGTGATTTAATCTTTTGTCTCTGGACAGCTCTGCTCCCACCCCGTGTGTGCCCCTACTGATGTGCTGTCCATTTCAGAAATTAAATCAAGCAGCAGGGGGAGGATGGGGTTCTTGGCCCTGACACGGTGACAAATGCTCCAAAGGAATCAGCTGTGAAAAGGTTGTTAGAAGCCAGGATGAGAGACAGAGACAGGATGAGGTCATAAACATGGAGAACACAGAGGGACAGAGCTGACGGCTCCCTCGCACCTGCACACACAGGCTCACAGGGGAACCACATGCCAGAAACAGTCCCCCTGGGCATCCTAAAGCAACTTCACTTTGCCACACACACAGGAACAAGGACAGTCACTCCCAGAGAAGAAGGACATGCAGGACAGTCACCCACAAGGCCACAGTCACACACAAGTTCACAGTCACACAGGGACACTCGCTCACTTCAGGGATGGTAACACCTGACACAAAATCACAGGTACATGTACAAGACGGGCACCATCACCTGGAGGCACAGTTATGCCCAGGAACACAGGGAAACAGTTTAATACAAATACACAAAGAGAAACAGAGATATGATTACACAAGGGATACAGTCTCAAACTCGAGAATACAGCCCCACAGGGGGCACGCAGACAGGCAATGTGACATAGACAGCCAGTGTCATACATAAGGCACAGCCCACAAAGATACAGCCACACAGAGAAATGCACTCAAACAGGGACACACGCTGTCACTCTCACAAGAACACAGTCTCACACTCTCAGAGAGGTGGTCTTATGTCCAGGATCATGGTGGCACAAGTTAGAAACCACTGGCAGGCCCTAGGGAGGCCCAGTCAGCGTCCCTGGAGCTGGCCAGGATCTCTCTGGGTCTCACTATTGATCTCATAAAGAAGAGTCCATAGAAACCTAAACTCACTACCCACAGCCTTGAGGGTGGCAGAGTCCAGACAACAGGGTCTGCTCCATGCCTGGTCCCTGGAGGGGCCCTCACCCTGTCTGTTTTCACCCAACCCAACTGACATGAAGTAGGAGGCAGGAATCATGCAGGCAGGGAGCTCAGGGAGCCCGTTCGAGGTGAGTTTTTAGTCCAGATCCTGGACTGTTGTTGCTGTTTGAGGTGTTGCCCCAAGTGCAGCAGAGGGGCAGGAGGTCAAGTTGAGGGCCCTTGTGTCTCCCCGCAGGGACGTGGCTCCTTGTCCTGTGGGCTGTGGCAGGTCTTAGCCCTCATTGGACAAATAGGTAGAGAGAGGGCAGGGAGGCTGCCAATGGCCCAGCCCTGAGCTGTCCCTCACTAATGTGGCCTTTCCAGCTGACTAGCCTGTCCCCTTTTTAGTACACTGACCCTCTCCTTCGTTACCCTGTCCCATCATCTCATTCTCAGTCACCATCTCTGTCCCCATCCTCCCTCTGGGATGAGGCTGAGGGTAGAAGGCCTGCAGTCTTGCCTACTGTCTCCAATCAGTGCCTCCAACTGCACCCCCACAAATCTCCAGAAGATCCCCTTTCACCCAGATACTCTATACGGGCCCCACCCCAGCATCCCCCACCAACTCCCATCCCACCTGCCTATATCCTATGACACCCTAGCAGGAAGACAGATCATTTCAAGCGAGAGACACCATCAGCATTCCAACACCCAGGTGTGGCTGTGGAGGACTGTGCATATCAGTATCACATGACTCCATGTCCCTCTGGGTGGTCATGTCTGACAATGCCAGTGTGTGGCTCTTGGGTGGTATCAGGATGCAGCTGTGCCAACAAGGGTTCATGCCCACCTCTAAGAGGGGGGTCAGCAGGCGGCTCCCGTGAGCACTCACCCTGTGGACTGTGTCTCTGGGTGTACACAACTGCAGCGGCAGCAGCAAGCACAGCACAGCAGGCCCACGGGACAGGAGCAGCCATCTGTTGGGAGAAACCGGGGTGGGGGAGGAGGGCAGCATCAGCCCAGGCAGGACCCTCCTGGGGAGCCCCTCCTGTTCCTCAGGCAAGACTGGGAAATCCCAGCCCTAGGGCCAGGGCACCTTGACACGAAAATGCCCTTCTTAATGGGGCTCAAGATCCTCTTTCAGGCAATATAAAGCAACATTATTGGCATCTGTAGGCAAAGGTTTGCTAAGATGGTAGAAGGCAACTTATGGTGGTTTGCTGTTCGATAAGACTGCTGGCTGCATAATGCTGTCAACCGCGAATGAGTTATACAATATTGGTAATGCCAGGGCCATTTTTCTTAAAAAAAATAATAAATAATAACTTTACTGGTGAGGTTAGCTAATTGGCTATAAACATCATAAACTGAAAGGGTAATGTTTTAACTTAATTGGAGGTCTGTACTTCTACAGATTGCTTTGAATGGAAGGACCCCTGCCATGCTCCTGGGGATTGAGCCTGAAACCTGGATGCTCTGGAGCCCCTTGGATCTGTCATCTGTCCCCAACACCCCCGAGGCAAGCCTTGCCACTGGGCCCTGGGAAGCTCAGAGTAGTTGAGTCAGGGCAGTGGGACATGACCCAGGTCGGATGTGGCTTTTGCCTAATTATACACCAATGCTCAAGAGAAAATGAGGGATTTTCATATGTAAGTCCTTGTCAGGGACCCCGGCCCACCCTTGACTGCAGCCATGTGTCCCTAGGAGCCTGGGAACCCAGCCCAGCAGGTGTGCATCAGTGTCTACATGCACCCATGTAAGTACAAGTCACACTCAGGACATGGCCCCAGAAGCCAGGATGGATCCAGTGCCCCCCAGTCTGGTGTCCTGCTTCCTGAAGAGTCCAGCTGTTCTCTCCCTCTCTCCCAGCACATGCCTATACATGATGGCAAGAAAATAATTATTTCCTGCAGAATGGGCCCCAAATGTGACAACGCCCCCACCCGCCGACCTTCAGTCTGAGGAGAGAGAAGAACTATCAACCACACAGAAGCAGAGATCAGAGATACACTGAGGAATGCTACCAGGCACCTAACCAGAGCCACCCTCCGAGATTCCAGCCAGCCACATAGCAAAGATGCTGGCCAGGGACACTGCCCCAAACCAGACAGAACCCCAAAGAAACAGCTCCATAGACAGTGTAAGATACACCAGAGACTGTTAGAAGAACCATCAGACAAAGCCAAAGAGGCAGGTAGATGAAACCAGATAACCAGCCAGAGAGATGGTCAGAGAACAGCGGACACAATCAAAAGACTCACCAGAAACACTGTAAAGGACAGACCCAGGCAGACATACCACTGGAGGACAAGCAAGGAGCACAGGCAGTGAAGCTGTCGGTGACAAAGCCAGAGAGCTAAGACACTGTCAGAAACACTGCCAGAGAAACTGTCTGACGCACAAGCAGAGAAATACCAGAGAAACTGATAGACACAAACAGGCATACACTCAGAAAAACAGCTCAAGTAAAGAGCCAGAGCCACAGCCAGATGCTCATTCAGGAAGTATCCACACCATTCCAAACACTGCCACAGACACTGTCAGACACACAGTCAGACGTACTGCCAGAGACGTTGTTAGAAAGACTGCCAGAGAAACAGCCAGACACACAGCCAGAGAAACTGACAGACACACAGCCAGAGAAACTGACAGAGACGCAGTGCCAGATACACCCCAACAAAGTGCCAGAGACCCAGCTCCAGACGGTGCAGGCATAGCATAGTAGAGACAAATGTGGGTATCAGCCTGAAGCAGCTGCGGAGAGGCTGGAGAGCAACGGACTTTCTGGGGCTTTCTGTCGGAGGGGGCTCCTGTCTGCCCTGCCCTTTGCTACCCTTAACCCTTTCCAGGAAAGTCCCCTCCTCTGAGCCTGCTTTTCCTTTCCTCCCTGTCACAGCCACAGGTGCCCTGACTGCCCCTCTGGCACAGCAAACCTCTCTGTGTCCCAAATGGCCCCCGCTACCCTTTGTGTGTCAGTAATGCCTGGAGCCTTACTACCACTTAGTCTGGCTTCTTTTGACCCTCAGCCACTGCCCACTCTTCAGCTATTCCTCAGGCCTAGGAGGTTAAGACAATGGCCAAAGTTACACAGCCAGCAAGTGGTGGAGCCAGGAAATGAACCCAGGACTGCCTGAATTCAGGGCTGGTGTAAGAGAAAGAGAAAAAGAGACCAGCAGCCAGAGCCTACCTGGATCCCCGACCTCAGCCCTGGCCAGTTGCCCTCAGACCCTCCCCCACTGACTCTGCCATCTGTCCATGCCTTTCTCCTCACAGCCAGGAAGATCCTCTGCCTCCATGCCAGGCCCACTGCCCACCACAAGGGAGCAAGAACCAGGGCATAGGCAGGTAAAAGAGCAGGTGGAACCGCTGAGGTTAGATCCCAGGATAGGAGTACCCAGGGAAAGAAGGAGTGGTGTCCTCTACTCCCAGCCCCCTCTTGGTCCACACAAGCACACACTCCTATGTATGTGCACAAGTGCACGCACATGTGCACACACGCGCACATGCACACACACGCGCGCACACACACACGCACTCTCTCTCTCTCTCTCTTTCTCTCAGGCCTCTGCAGGGGGAGGGGTGGCTTCTTCATCAAAGTCGCCTCCATCAGCCCGATGAGTTACTGTAAGGGCCGGGCCCTGGGCCAACGGGGCTGCAGCCACGGGAGACAGGCGTTGCTGAGAGTGAGTGCTGCAGAGTGGGGGTGGGGTACCAAGACAGACACTGCAGGGTTGGGGGCACCCAGAAAAGACAGAGACTCAGGGAGGAGAAGCAAGAGGCAGGGAGAGAGGAGGAGCTCTGAGTGGAGACCCAGAGAAACAAGAAAAGGCTGAGATAGCAAGAAATAGAAGAGACACGGGGAAAGATGGCGCACCTAGGAGATGGGCAGATACTCAAGGGCAGAAGGGAGGAGACCCTGGCAGGTTCTCTGCCCACCCTAGGGCATCTCCATGTCCTGCCCAGCTCCTCTAGCACAAAGGAGGGTGGGAGGGTGGTCAGTGCAATTTGAGGCAAGAGCAGTGCCTTCCTGGAGGCTGGAAGGATTCTTGCTGGGGATCTAGGAGCCCAGGCCCTAGGGGACAAGGGCAAAACCCCATCCCTGCACCTACTCCTTCCCCTGCAGATCCATGGGTGAAACCCCACCTCTGCCCCTGCCCCTGCCCCCTGCAGATCCAGAAAGCCCCAGGCCAGTTTCACTTACCCCTTTCTTCAGAGTCTCAGCTGGGCCCACTGCCCAGGTCGGGAGGATGAGGCCAGAGGCATCCAGAACACACCTCCATCCTGCCCTGGCTCACTCCAGGCCACCCATCCCAGGGCAAAGAGCATCTTTCCCGAGAATTTTCCAAGTCCACACCCCATGGCTCTGGGATAGATCTGCAGGATAATTCCCACAGAGCCCCAGATAAGGGCTATTCGAACCGGCCCAGGCTTCCTGTCAGCCCCTAGAAGTCAGCCCCAGAATGAGGAGGGAACAGAGGGTACCCCATGAGCAAGAAAGGAGCTCAGCACCTGGCAACCCCTGAACTTCCTGTCAGCACAAGAGTCCCTGCACCTCTCCCAGCACAGCACCCCAGTGTCATCATTACTCCCACACAGGTGACACATTAAGAGTCAAATTCTGGGGCCCCAGTTTACTGCCATTGTCCCGCTGTGGCATAAAGATACCATTATACAATGATAGCCTTCCAGTGAAAATGACACAGTTGACAATGACACAGGGATGTTAACAGTCATCACAATTACAATAATGCAGTGAGTGACCATCACATACATTGACACCAACAAACAGGGCAAGGATACCGGTTAACACTGGCACAGTCACAGTGACAGTAACCTCAGAATCAAAGATGCAATGAGACTCAGTCACACAGAGTAATACCGATGGTGACATCGATGCAGTGACACAGAGATGTTGATAGACTCAGTAACAGTCTCACAGAATGATACCAGTCCACAGTAATACTGGCAGTCCTGGAGTCTGACAGCTGCCATCGGTAACAGTAACAGACACAGTGACAGGCTCCAGGTCAGGAACCCCTATTATCCGGTTTTAGGACCCAAGACCCAAGAACCCTCTTGCCAGATGCAGCAACGTTCCAGTTGCTCTGCGCCCTTCCCCTCACCCCATGCCAGCTGAGGGCACAACCTAGGGGAGGGAGGTGTGAGTTTTGGAAAGCCTTTATTTATCCCTGCAGAACCACAGACAGCACTTTAGACTGTACAAGGCCAACCCTGGGGAAGCCCTGCCACCATCAGGTTGGTGTGGGGGGTAATTAGCACCACTGACTGTCTCAGCTGTAATTGTGTGTGTGTGTGTGTTGATCTGTAATAGTGTGTTGTGAACTTCAGGGTTTGGGTTGGTGTGGGCATGGTGAGGGTCAGGTAGGCTCAGTCTAGCCTGGACAATGAGTGAGCAGGGAGGCTTCAAAGCAAGTGACCTCAAAGCAAGGTTACTGTTCCATCTCCGAGGCAGGGAATTGAAATCCAAAGAAGGTCACCAGATGGACTCCCCACCATTGCCAGGGATCAGGGTGGGTTCAGAACATCCATCTGAGGAAAGGCATCTGGCCCAGCATAGAACAGAGGGGACTCCCCACAGCTTCCAGTGCCCCCTCTGACTCCCACAGCCCAGACTCTAGAATCCCACAGTGTGAGGGGGGAAAAGGCACCTTTTATCCTGGGGCCTCATCTCCTTCACCTCTCCCCACAGTAGCCTAGGGGGCCCATCTCAGGAATGAAGCAAGAACACAGGACACAGCATGGACTCACTGATTCAAACACCTGGGGACAGTAGATGCCTCAGAACTGCAGAGGAATTAGGTTGGAGCAGGGAAAGAGAGATACATAGACTTGGAGATAGATAAGGAAATAAGAGACAGAGCGGGCAGCAAAGACAGGGACAAGGACATGGTGGGCAGGGAGGAACAGCAATGGCTGAGGGGGAGCTTGGGAGAGATAATCAGGGTGGGTGGGAAGCTCCAGGAGGGGGAGGAGGGGCTGAGGCTGTGAGGCCCCCAGATCCCACCAGGCCTAGGCAGCCTGGACAGCGTGGGCGGTGGGGGCGGGGGCAGAGGCCTGAGCGGTCCAGAGGCTTAGTGGGTGGGGGGACCAGAGGCCTAGCCCCTGGCAGCTGGCCTACCAGGCCCCCCACCAGGGAGGGATGGGCCTAGGTCAGGGGCCAGCTCTTGGGCTGTGGCTGGCCAGCCATGGCGGGCAGGCTCCCACTCCCGGTGGTGTTTCTCCCTCCTGTCTCTGAATCTCCAGTCTCTAGCCCCTTCTCTTTTCCCTCTTCACTGAATCCAGACCTGCCTCTCCTCTCAGCTCTCTCAGTGACCCACCCAAAGTGGCACAGGGCTCCAAGATGTGTCTGGGTTCAGGATTCAAGCTTTACCTCCTCCTGGGCTACCATGTCCCCACCCACACCAGGGGCAAGCCTTGGTGCTCAGGGGAAAGGACCCTACCCAAACTTAGGCCCCATCCTCCTCCTTAGAAGCAGGGAGGATAAGCTGAGCACCAGTGGGAGGGGGCCAAGAGGGAGGCAGGGGGAGCGGTCCCCCAGCTTTCACTGCTGGCTGAAGCTGTGGAAAAGGAGGCGGCCCAATTGAGTGAGTTAGAGGGGTGGGTATCTGCACCTGCTGTTGTGACCTCCACAGCCAGAGATGGGGGTCTGGCGGGGGGGACAAGATTCTGACGGATTTTGGCAGTAGCCTGGACTCTGAGTGCTCAAAACCCTCACCCCCAGTCTCTTGCACTGTGGGGACCCTGAGATCAGCATATGTGTGCCCTGCTGCAAGTGTGTGCGGGCGTGTTGTAGGGGGGAGCCTGGGCCCCTCCCATGATGGGCCTGGCTGGGCAGCTGGGGAGGCATCCTGGGGAGATGAGAATCTGTCACCAGCCTGTGCCCACATGTGTGCCCCACTTGGGGCCCTGTGTGCTGCCTGGTGACCTGGGCATGGGCTTCTATATTCACATACATGCAGGCCTGTGCTTACGCAGCCCTCTAGATGCAGAAGGGCTGGGCTTTCATCCTCAAAAGTCATCTGGTCCAGCCCCCTGCCTCTTGAATGGACAGGAGGAAGGGGCAGATAAGTTCAGATCCTCCCTTTGGAGACATAGGCTCTAGAGAGCTTCACAGAACCTGAGGCACTGGTGCCAAATCCTCCAGCCCCCAGTCCAGTCTTTTCTGGTTTCCAGAAAAATCAGGAGCCCCCTTTTACCCAGGAAAGGCACACACACCATTCAGGTTAAGTCTGTGGGGAGTAGGGTGCTGCTCCTCTTGGAACGACAGAATGCTGCAGCAGGTTAGATAGCTGGAAGAACTCCATGAAAGGCAGGGAATGGACAGAGCAATAGGGTTGACTAAGACTTCCCTTAGGGTGGGGATGGGGTAGGGAAAGGCCCGAAGCGGATGCTGGGGACAGGATGGGGACAGGAAGGAAGCTGCAAGGCAGGGCCCTCCATGGAGACACAAGAATGGATAGAATGGCTTTCCAGAATTGGAGGCTGGGACAAAGACCTATTTGCCTCAGCATCTCCTACCACACCCACCCCCGGCCCCATCCCTGCTATGGTGCAGACACACCCTTGCATCCACACAGAGGCCCATGCATGCAAGCTCACACACACACACACACACACACACACACACACACACACCCCAGGGGGCAACACATGTGATGCATTGGATTACAACAAAAAAAAACCAAAAGTGGTCGTTCTGACAGAGCCAGAGTTGGGGAACAGAAGCTTCAAATGTCTTCTGTGTTCTGTTCTCTCTGTCCCCTAACGTGCATGTGCACCATGCACGCTACTTCTGAGGAGCCTTCTGGTCTGCTGGGCAAGACCAAGCCATCCTTCCTCCCCTTTCCTCCCCTCCTTGCAGTGGGGAAGCCAGAGCAATCTGTTCCTGATGGGTAAACACAGGCGTGAGAACGCGCACACACATGCTCATGTACACACCAGTCACTCAGTCCACACAGCACCCAGTGCTCACTTCACCCCGAGACAGAGCCCACACTTGGGCTCTTACTACACCCAGCAGAGCTCTCAAAGCCCCTGCCTCCTCAGACACACAGGGCCAGGGTTTTACAGACACACCAGGCAGCCCCTCACAGACACTGGTATTCTGAGCTTACCATCGTGGCCACACATCAGGGCCTCCCACATGGACACCCGCTCCCATAGCCCCGTACACGTTCATGTGCGTGCACACACACATTACAGTCATACACACACAGACTCCCTCACAGCCATGGTCTCACATATGGATATCATCACACACTCAGAACAATCAACCTTCCACACAGACACCATTGCACCCCTCCAAAAGCTCAGAGCCCCCAGTTGCCCTCAGCCTCTCATGCCCCGAAACCCGGCAATGGGTATCACCCACATATACACCCTGAACAGCCACACTGTGCCGGGACCTCAGGTTGCCTAGCTGTACCTGAAGGGAGGGAGAGAAAGACCAGGGTGGCCTAGGGCAGTAAGGAAAAGGGAAGGAAATACTTAGTTGTCCCTAAAAAGTGAGAAAATAGATGATTATTCCCCAGGCAGCTCCTCCTTCCCCAAAGCCTGCTTTCACCAGCATTAGGGAATGAAGGAAGATCCAGTCCAGACAGGAGAGGTGAAGGAAGTACCTGAGGGAGACAGATGGTGGCACTGGAATCAGCAAGAGCCAGAAAGGCCCAGAAACCATTCAGCTCCTCAGGCCCTTGATGCCTCTCCTCATCACCCCCTCTTCTCCACGATGAGGATCAACAGCAGCTCTCAGCCTAGCTATCTGCCGTGGGATCCCAAGGCCTCTTCAAAACCTCTTTGTGCCCATAACTGTCTAGCAGGCACCCAGATGTCTGGCCTGGGTGCAGAAGGGGCAGGAGAGGGGAAGGAGATAGGCCCTCCACTCCAGCCCCCCAGTCCCCACCAAAGCCCTGGCATCACTGTATTCTGTTCTCTCTGCCCCCTAATGTGCATGTGCACCACGCCCACAGAGAGGTAGGGCAGATGCCCAGAAGCGGGGGGGGGGGGGGGGCAGCAGGCAGAGCAAGTGGGTGCCACTCTAACCACTGAGGAGAAGAGTCCTAAGGTGTCCTTGGACCCTGCAGCCCCGCCCCCATCTCCTGAGGAGTAGACACGGAGTCGCTGTCCAGGCAGAATGGAATCCAGGCTGTGCTGGCCAGGCCCCAACTCGGGAAAGATCAGCAATGCTGTGGACATCCTTGCCACTTGCCACTCCAGGTGTAGCTGGGGCCTCGATGCCCCCATCCTAAAAGGAGCCTGATGTGACTCCATGGAAGCCAGGCAGGACCTGTCTGGGGCAATGCCATAAAGCCAGATGATAGGGACTCTGGGGAAGGGGGCAGTGGGGACAAAAGGAACCAGGCAGCAGGGTGTAAGGAAACCAGGTGACAGGGCCCCAAAGAAGGTAGGCAGCGGGAGCCAAATGAAACCAGGCAGTGGGACTGGAGTTAGCTAGGAGGTATGGACAAATGAAGCCAGGCTTTGGGGATCAAATGAAACCAGGCAGGAGGCCCACAGGATGTGAGAAAAGAAAGATATCAGGAGCTCATCCCCTCTGTCTAGATGTCACCCCACACTGTGGGCCTCTCTCTCTGCAGCCCCTCTTCCACTCAGGCAGTGGTCCCCTCCCCCAGGCCGATGGACACAGCCAGAGCCCCCTCCCCTCTCAGAGGCCTGGTCCGATTGCAGCCAATGGGCCCCGGCCCCATCCCTGGGACCTCAGGAAGTCCCAGTCCCTCCCACCGGCTGCAGAGGCAGGGGGGCTGAGGGGAGAGAAAGAGAAGAGAAGAGAGACAGCTTGGCAGGGGGAGCGCGCCGAGCAGCCGCGGGGGGCGGGGGCCGAGAAAGGAGCGGGAAGCGCCGAGGCGGGCCGAGCTGGCTGGCGGGCCGGCGCGGGCGGGGGCGTTGCAGCGGCAGCAAGGGGTGACAAGTCCTCCGGCCCTGCGGTCACTGACCTGAGTCCCCAGGCAGGCGCCCCGTCGGTGCCTCCGGCTCTCCGCGGGTCCGCCCGGCCGCCCGCGGGCATCGGGTCTGCAGGGCTTGGGCCCGGGCAGCAGGGACGGACCCGGGAGGCAGAAGCAACCCCCCTAGAGGTTCCGGCAGGCGGGTGGGCGAGGGGCCGCGGTGAGCGGTGAGCTGAGCGACGAGGGCCGAGTGGCGAGTGAGCGACCGGGCAAGCGGGCCGGGAGGAGGGGAGGAAGGAGCGCGCTGCAAGCGAACGAGCAAGCGAGCTAGCTAGCGGAGGGAGAGTGAGGGACGGCATGCAGTGAGGTCATCCTTTGAATCTAATTGTCTGAGTCAGGAGGAGATGTGGCACTTGATGATGGGGGAGGGGAGGGAGAAGGGACCCTCCCCGCTCCGGTCCCGGCCCCTCTCCACACCCAGGGGCGGCCCGGGCCTCCCTTCCCCGCCCCAGGCGAAGTTGCCGGAGGCCAACTCAGGCAGACCACTACCCGTCTCAGGGCGGACCTCTGCTGCCTGGGGCTATCAGCAAGGGGTGAGAGATGTGGGACCTGGACCCAGCTCTGGGCTACCTTCTTCCTCCCCGGGGTGACTGCCCCCACCCAAGGCCCAGGTCGTATTCCAGGTCCTATTCCTGCCCTCTGAGGATAAAGCAGGAACTTGAGCCAACCTTCCAAGTTGCCTTACTTTAGGAGTATGGGGCCCTAACTCTATTCCCGGTTACTTCCAATGCTGGGAATTTGGAGGAATCTGGGAACTGAACCCCAGGCTCACCATCCTGCCCTCTGGGAATGATAGTGCAATGCCACCCGTTCTCCAGTTACTTTCTGCATTTGGGATGAGGACCCCAGGTCCCCATTCCAGAGGGACAGAAGCAGGGCCAGACTCCTAGGGTCTCCAGGACCCTAGGTTTGTCAGGTGTGCACACCCGTGACACATGAGCACAGGCACACAGGGTCGGGGGCACCAGACAGCTGTGGATATTTACACCAAGGGCCATACATCCCTCCCTTTGCCCCTGTTGGGGAGGGGTGATAAATATTTAAGGGGCTTTTAGCTCAAAAGGGGCTGGAACGGGGGAGGGAGGGGAATCCACGCTGCCTGATTAATGGGGTTACGGGCTTGGATCAATCCGTCCGCCCGCCGCTCCCTCCTTCTCTCTCCTCCCTCCCTCCGCCTAATGTGCTTTATCAGGAGACGCTTTTCTGACTTGGCAGCGTTGGGCGTTTTAAATAGACCCATTTAGAGCTGGGGTTGGGGGAAAAGGAAGGGGGTGGAGGGAGACAGAGATTGAGACAGGCTGGGAGACAGAGACAAATCAAGAGAGAGAGATGTGCCCCAGAAGAGAGAGACTGGGAGAGGAGAGACAGAAGGAAATGCAGAGATACCATCAAGATAAGGTATGAGGGTGAGGCTCCCACAGAGGCTGAGATGGAGAGAGAGAATGATGGAGAGAGAGGGGGTGATGGGAGGCCAAAGGGAAGCTGGGCGGGGTGTGGGGGGGTGTGAGGAGCAGAAACAAACAAAAAGAGACAGGGAAGAAAGGAACCACCGGCAGCAGGGAGAAACCCAGAGAGAGGCTCTCTGCAAGGGCTGAGTGCTAGCCTGGGAGACAGCAAATACCTTTTATTTCCAAAAACAGTTTTCAGCCACTTTGTTAAATTAAAAAGCTGTTTTTAAAGTGGTGCTGGAGGTGCTGGTGGGGGAGGGTGAACAGAACTGCCAAGTCCTCCCTCTCCGGCCTCCTCCTCCTCCTTGGCCCCCACAGAAGCTGCCTCAGCCTGAGCCCCTGGGGTGTTCTCCAGCTCCCCTGCTCTCCAAGGCAATCCTCTGAGATCCCCAGGAACAGGGTCAGGGCATCTGAGCTACTGTTCACTGGCAGGAAGTCCTTCCTGCTGTCTGGCCTCAGTTCTTCCTGCTGCAGGGAGCCCATTCTTTCCCCTGACCACTATCCTCTCTTCTCCAGCTCCTGTCCTGGGTCCCTAAGGTGGTCCCAGTTTGTGGAGGATTATGTGTCCTCAAAGCTCAGTAGCCCACTTTCCAAATAAGCCACCAGACTCCTCCCAAGGTATCCCCCATAAATATTATCTTTTATGCTGTATATCCATCTCCTAGCCCCATCCTAGTCTCGACTTCTATCAGATACACACCCCATGTCCTTGGGTCCTCTGGAAACAGTGAGGTGAAAAGCTTAACTTTCTGTAGCCATCTCAGGCCTCCCTTCCTCCTCTCCTGGGCCCCAGCTCCATCTTAAGCCCCTTTTATGTGTCAGCCTGGGGTACCTCACTCCACCCTCAACAACACCCTGGTCCCAGTTGTGAAGGGTTAGTCCCCCCAGCCCCCAGCCAGGAAAATGGCCAGTCTGTTTGGGAGCTGAGATGAAAAGCCCGGCAGGCCTTTGTGGGCCTCTGGCGGGTTTTGGACAATAGGCCCTTCCGTTCCGCTCCAGTGCCTCGATTCCTTGGATGCCCCCACCCCCAAGCTGCCAATCCAGGGGCCTTGCCTGGCTTGAATGAGAGACAGGGAGAGTCAGGCGCGGCCCCACAGCTGGCCTCAGAAGATTCTGGACTTTCTGACCTCCCATTCCACCTCTTTCAAGCCTAGCTGCTCCTCCAATCAAGCCAGAGAGATGTTTCGGGGCCAGATAGAAAACCAGAGGACACTGAAACAGAAACATACTCTCATATCTGGGACTCAGCCCCCACTTAGCATAGAACCCCATTTCCTGACCTAGTGTTGCCCTTGCCTGTGTGACCATAGGTTAAGTCTCTTCCCTTTCTAGGCCTATAATGAGAGCATGAAAAGCCTCAGTCAGGCTGAATCCAAAACCTCTGGAAGAAGAAATGACGGGAAGAGAGGAAGGAATATCAGGTCCTCCTCCACTCATGTCCCCTAGACCTACAGCCCCACTGCACCCACGTCATGCCCTGAGATTGACCTGTCCCACCTGGGCCCCAGCACCTACCTCTTCACCACTGGCCACACACCAAGCACATCAATGTCCTCCTCTTCCTCCTCCAGACCAAACTCTTCAGAACTTCCAAAACCAAGGAGGCGAGACGAGGTGACAAGGCTAGATTCTAGAAGAGCAAAGGGCACACATCAGAGGTCACAGAGGAGCCACAGGCCTTAGTCCAACTCAGAGGCCATTCCATACTTACAGCCCCACTGTGAGAAGGAGAGACTGAGTCAGGCAGCAGATAAACATCTGTAAGAAGAAAAGTTGAGAGTAACACAGACCCCTTCCAGCACCCCTTGCTTACTTCAAGTTCTGAACCACAGGGACAAAGGTTGCCAGAAGGCAGTGGCCTGATACAACACAGATGCATACAACAGACAATCCACAATTCCCATACAATCAGTTTGCAGACACACGGGCACCTCCATATCACATATATCTTCACATGTACAATCCTAGAGTCACAGGGTCACAGGCGTGGTGCAAATAACCACCATCATAACACCCCCTTCCTATCACCAGTATGATTTATTGAGCATCTATTATATGCTAGGAACTGTGTTTGGCACATTATATGCATTATCTTACTTAATATTCATGATTTCTCCATGACGTAGGTTCTATTGTTCTTCCCATTTGATAGCTAAGGGGATTGAGCTTCAAGGAGGTCTTGCCCAAGACCACAGAGCTGACCAGTTCCAGAGCCTAGATTTGAGTCCATATCTGGCTCCAAAACCTTGCTGCTATACCAGTCTGCCTGTGCAGATCTCTCATCCACCTCCACAGTGCCTTCCCCAATAATAATAGCAGGTAGCACTTGTTCAGGGTCCTGGATTTCCCAGACACTATGACAAGTACTTAATTTACCTTCTGATACTGAACCATCAAAACAAGCTTCAAGGCTGGGCATGGTGGGTCACACCTGTAATCCCAGCATTTTGGGAGGCTGAAGCAGGTGGATCACCTGAGCTTAGGAGTTCCAGACTAGCCTGGGCAATATAGTGAAACCCTGGAGGCGGAGGTGGGAGGATCACTTGAGCCTGGGAGGCAGAAGTTGCAGTAAGCCAAGATTGAGCCACTGCACTCCAGCCTGGGTGACCAAATGAAACCCTGTATTAAACAAACAAACAAAAAAACCCGCAAGCTTTTGAGGTAATCCTGTTTCCATTTTACAGACCCTAAAACTGAGGCTCAGAGAGCAGAAGCAGCTTGCCCAAAGTCACACAACTGGTAGTTGTTAAAGGAGCTGGTCTTGAACTCAGGGATATCTTGAAAGCCACTGTTGCTTCTACAAACTCAGCCATTCAAAAGACCCCTCACCTTCAATAAGACCCCAGCTGATCCTCAGGGTCCAACTGCTCCCCTGAAAACAGGTCCCAGATATATCTGCCAAAGGTATGATTAGGTGCCTAAACACATACCATGAGAAAGGGACTCCATGTCTTCTAATCCTGCCCAGAGATGCAGAGACATCACCAACCAGGGAGAGAGGGCCAGAAACTAAAATAAGGTGTTAGAGACAGGCTGGCTGATGGTGACAGATACAGCCACAACAAGACAGGCCCAAAGAGAGGGAGACTGAGGGGAAGCCAGAGACAGCGAAGGACACATTAGGCCAAAGAATGAGAGAGACAGCTGGAAAAGGAGACAACAGGAGTAGAGGAGGGTACAGGCTGACATGAAAAAACACAGATACACTCCAGTATGCAGACACACATAGACCCATTTGACCTTCACAAGAAACAAACTGAAAGCAAGCAAGGCTCAGGCTGTATGGTGTGTGTATGCGTGTGTGCGTGTTGTGGGGGAAGCATGCAGAGTCTGTATCGCTACGCACATTACACCAGCTGCTTCCAGCAATTTCATCTGATTAATAATAAATGCCCCATAATTACAGCCGCTCCCCCAGCCCTTCTTCCTGTTTTTTGTCAGCTGCTGCCAGGCCAGCCCCCCATAGACCCTATGGTCCCCTCCATCCTCACCTGCTGCCCTCTGGAGGCTGAGAGAATGTGAGCTGGTGGAGGCCAGACTCCCAATCTGAGGAGGGATACCCATCTCTCTATCTTGGATTAATGCACTTTGCCTCCAAGCAAAAGGTCATCTTACTTAGATCTCACTCAGAACTCTTCCCCGACATGGGTATAACCTGTGACCCCTAATATGGCCTAGGGCCCACATCTGGAATGCAGAGAGATGAATTCCCTTGCCCACTCTTTATCATTCGTTGGCTGAAATTTGTCACTCCATCCACAAACTTCACCTAGCCTCAGAACCCTGTAGACTTAGAGGAGAAAGGGACCAGGACAAGGTCCCTCACCCCATCAGTCCAATCCCAGACAGCTCGAATCTCTACCCACTTGTATACCCTCGAGCTCTGGACACATGGTGGCTCTGCCTGCCCATTCCTGAGCACCCCGCAACCCCACCCCTGCAGGTTCACCTCCTTCCAGGCCTCCCACCCAAACGCTCCAAGGCAGCTCTATCAGAATCAGCTGCGAGGTTGTGCTGATCTGTTTCTAATCGCTGGGGCCTGGTTCACGCTTGCCCCCACCCCCCAATATTGATTCCATTATTTGGAGAGTCATTGACGTCAGGGGCCTGGATGGGTGCCAAAACTGCCTTCTTTCCAGGCCTGGGCCATGGCCCAGCCCCCCATCCCACAATTTCACAAAGGGGCCCAGAAAGGTCAGCTCATGGACCAAGGTTACATGGCATCTTCCCTCTGACTCTGGGCTCCTCTTGTCTTTTTGGGACCACCATGCAACTCCCTTCTGGAGAGAGAGGCTACACAAAGGCCTGGGATTTAGAAGTGAGGTTGGGGGCAGCTATAAAAGGGAGTCTGAAGACCCTCACTGGGACTCTGGCTGCAAGAAGGGGCTCTGAAGAGGTAAGGAGGAGGGCAGTGGCTCAGAAAAGGGTAGTTGGGAATACTTTGTTTTTTCCCACATTCTTATTTTGGAACATCCTGAAGCTGGACTTGAAATGGATCCTACTGAATACTTGGTTTTTATGTCTGGTATCAGATGTATCTCCAGACTCTCTTAGAAGGAAATTCTGTGCAGTGTAGGATAACAGATTACCCTAAATGTTGCCATAATTTGACTAACTGGCACCAGTAATTTTATACATCTTTGCTCCACATAAAACAAAGGCTCTGTCTCTTGTGCCTCTCTCATCCATGCTACCTCAGTTTCCCCACATTCACACACTCTCCCAGTCTTTCCTGGTGTTGGGTGTGTGTCTCTTCCTCTTTATCTCTATCTGACCCAGATGTAGCCACTGGCCCACACCAGCAACTCCTGGGCTCTGGCTGGACAGAGTATTTTTAGGATTTGAACCCCGTGTTCTCAGACAGACATTAATAACCGATACAGACACTCTGTGGTGCCCACAACAGCTACACAGTCTCAGAGCCCAGCCTTGGAAGGTCAGAGATAGGGTCCATTCCCTCAGCTGGAGGGTCAGAGATAGGGTCCATTCCCTCAGCTGGAGGGTCAGAGATAGGGTCTATTCCCTCAGGTAGAGTCTAAGAAAGCCACACCTAGAGAGGGCAAGGGACATGTTTACAACCACACAGGGAAAAAAAGGACCTTGCCTTCTGAAACATCCTGAGGGTGGGAAGGGGGAGGGTGACCTCCGACCTCTGCTATGGAATCAGGGTGATTGCCCTGCCCCAGCCTCCTCTGGTCCAGACCTTTCCAAGGAAGGGGCCTATCCTCTGCATGCCTTCCCTTCACTCAGGGAAGTCCTTCCTTCCTGTAGTCTAATCTGCAAACCAGTGTTCCTTTGAGCCAAACAGGGGTGTAGAACAAGGGATGGTGGGTCGCAAACCACAAATCCCAGGAGGTTCCCTCTCCCCACCATCTGTCCCACTCAGTGATTCATGCCTCAACATTTATTGAGCACCTATTCCCTGCCAGGCACTGTACAGAGAGCCAGGCACATGGTCCTGCCCACAAGGAGCATTCAGTCTGATGAGAGAGAAAAAGATGTATTACTATTTACACAAGAATGCCTTCCTAAGGTGTATGAGGTCTGTGCCAAGGGCAGGTGAGTACAGGGTGAGCAAGGTAGATCCAGTCCTTGAGTCACACAGAGCTCACAGGCAACTACTATGCAACCTCGCTGAATGTCACATGGGGAAAGTATAGGTAGGGTATATGGTGGGACACACTGACTGCCCTGGGTCTGGAGAAACCTGTCCTTCTACAGGACTGAGGACTCTTCGCTCCTAAACCCAAGATGGGCCCTCAAGCTGAACACAAGTCACTATCATAGTTTCATTTCAGTTCCTGCTACTGGAGCTCTAGCCCCAGCTTTTGGGAACTGGCTGCCCACAGTAGCAGGGTCTGACTCTTCCTGAACATCTGCTTCAGCTCCTCCATCCACCCCTTGGCCCCCAGAGTGCCTAGCTCTGGTAACCCCCAAACCGGCACAGCTCTGTGCTTTGGGACTCTCTTTGCCCTCTGGAAAGGTAAAAGGGACTGATCTCAGTGCTCTCCATCCCCAGGGACCACTTGCCTTCTCAGCCCCTCCCCATAGGAAGCCAAGAGCCCTTGTGGGTGTGATCACCCAGGGCCAAAGGAGTTTACACAGCTGAGGTCTCCCTCACCACCCCCACCCAATGGTGAATCTGGAGGAGGGGGTCACTTCTCACTTCTCAGGCTCCTTGCTCTCCAGGACCGCCCCCCAAAGCAAGCACACACAGTCCCCCCAACCCATCTGCATTTCAAAGAAAATCCACTCCATATGTTTCCGATTCATTTACACTTCAACTCACCATGAGGGGGCAGAGAGCAGGGGCGCCTTGCTTCCCAGCCCCCCACCCCCGTAGGGGGGCTGGAGAGCATGTGTCCCCTTCGGGAACAGGCAGCAGTTATAGCCCAGTCATCTCAGCACTGGGGTAGAGACCACAGGACCATGTCCCTAGAAGACAGTGTGTCTCAGGCAGCCGCAACTACTGACCTCCAAAGCAGCAGAGCACGCAAAGTCCATGAGAATCTCCAGGGGAGTTGGAGTCCCACGGCTGGCTGCAACCTAGCCCCCTCTAAGCCTACTGCTCTTTTGGGGAACAGTGTGGGGAAGCCTAGGCATGCCCTGGAGCCAGGATAAGGGCTCAACAGGCAATCCCAGAGACACACACAACATAACATGGTCTCTACCCCTCCCCAGCCAGGGCAGAGGAGAGAAGAGAGGGTGAGCTCTAGTCTTCTCCTCTAGCTACCTTCCCTGCATAGATTTGAGGCTGTTATCTCTCATATAATCACAGATTCAACACCCTGGAGCAGTCATAGGAACCAAAGTCTGCTCCCTCCAATCTTCACACCCCTCCCATCTTAAGAATGATTGAGATGTGTGTGTATGGGGGGAGGTGTCTTGGGAAGACAAGAGTCTTATTTCCCCTACCTGGCCTTCTCTACCACAGAAGGGATGTCCAAAACTATTCAAGGGGAATGGGTGTGCATTGATATGGCACATGGAGGAATCTAAGGGTTCGTGTCACCCCTGTACCAACAATCTTGGCAGATCTTCCTGCTAAGAGCCTAGTCTTCTTACGGAAGGAAAGCAGGGAAATTGAACTGGGTTAGCCTTTATCACCCCCACCCCCAGTCTCCATCAGCCCACAGCCCATGTGAGGGATGTGACCAAATGTGTATCCTCTCTCTTCCTCACCTTTGGAGGGGATGTATCCTGTAGCAGTCAGTCTCTCTTCCTCACCTCAAGTGCCCCAACACTCACCACAAACCAAAGGAAAGCATGGGCATATCTGACTGTGAGTCCTAAATTCCACTGGGATTGTGATTGCCACAATCTTAGTGTGTATCTGAATGTGAACCCAGGATGTAAGTGTGAGTTTAATCTAAGCATCTGGGTCTAATGTCCATCTGAGTGTGAACTCCAAGATGCAAGTACAGGTTTGAGTATAAGCCCAGGTCCCAGCATGCATCTGACTATAAACCCCAGTGGGGCGGGGTGCGGTAGCTCACGCCTGTAATGCCAGCACTTTGAGAGGCTGAGGCAGGCGGATCACAAGGTCAAGAGACTGAGACCATCCTGGGTCAACATGGTGAAATCCCATCTCTACTAAAAAATACAATTTGCTGGGCATGGTGGCCCATGCCTGTAGTCCCAGCTACTCGGGAGGCTGAGGCAGAATTGTTTGAATCCGGGAGGCAGAGGTTACAATGAGCCGAGATCACGCCACTGCACTACAGCCTGTAGCCTGGTGACAGAGCAAGCCTCTCTCTCAAAAAAACAAAAAACAAACAAACAAAAAAAACTAACCAGTGGGTCTGAATGTGAGCTCCAGGACTGAAGTGTTAGCCTGAGTCCCAGAATTCCTGTACAAGTCAGCATAAGCATTAGAGTGCTAGTGTAAGTCTGAGTGTGAGCCCCTGGTCGTAAGGGCTTCTGAGTATGAGCTAAGGTGACTCATATGGAGTCTGAGTGTGAACACTGGTGTCCCTTTTTAATTCTGAGTTTGAGTCCCAAAGTGCCCATGTAAGTCTAAGTGTGAACATCAGAACCCTAGTGTGAGTCTGAGTGTGAACACTGGGTCTCAAAGTGATCCTAAAATGGAAGGGGAAATCTCAAATGTGAGCACGAGTCCTAGTGTGAGTCTGAGTGTGAGCTCTGAGATCGCAGCGTGAATCTGAGTGAGTCACAGGGTCTCATGTGCATTTGAGGGAGTGACCAAGATCCTGGTATGAATCTAAGTGTTAGCCCTAGGTTTCCATGGAGATCTGACCCTCAGAGTCCCCACATGAATCTAAGTGTGAGCCCAAAGGTTGTATGTGAATCTCAGTGAGCTCCAGGATCCCTGCGTGAGTCAGTGTGAGCCCCAGCTTGGAAATGTCAATCTGACTATTAACCCCAGTGTCCTCATTGAGTCGAGTTCAAA